AACAGCTATCTCATACACACTCTACACACACCTATGACACTCTTTCGAATGCACAGACTGTGTATGTGTGTGTGTGTGTGTGTGTGTGTGTGTGTGTGTGTGTGTGTGTGTGTGTGTGTGTGTGTGTGTGTGTGTGTTTCTATATTTTCTTTTTTTTTTACTATAAGTTTCAAAATTTCAACTGTAAGGTCTGGTGTAACTGTAAAAAACAAAAGACTTCGCTAAAACAACAACATAAAAAAAACGGAATTTCCTATACTAACACGTTTAATTGCTTTACGTCATAGAGTAAAATATGTTTTTTAAATTTTATTATACAAATTGCCTGCATTAAATATGCTTTCAATGCATATAAAATCCTGTTTTATTGTGTGAATCAAAAACAATGTCTGCATCTACATCTGAATCAATCGATTTAACATAGCTTTGTATTTAAGATTAAGCTGGGATAACTGTTACCAACATTAAATATTTCTTGGCTACCCTTCTAGCAAAAAGTTGGCAAAATCAGATTGGTCAGATATACCTGGCAACAAACACAGAGTACTGAGAAATGTATTCATTTGCAAAATCATGCAATCCATTCATTAATCACATGAGTGACCAGTTGCATAAAATGCCAACAAGTTAGTCATTTATTTGTTAAGAAAACAGGTCAAAGGTTTTAAGCGGGTTTTATAAAAGCATAATTAAGGTAAAATTGGTTTTATATTCAGACATTCAAAACATTCAAGACATTCTCCTTAATACAATTTCAGAAAACTTTTCTTTGGAAATTCTCAATTGAAAGCATTTTGTTATACAGCGCAGTTGGGCAACTGACTGTTAACTATTAGAGGGTGTCACAGACTGGGAAAAGAGTATGGCAGAACATTTTTACTTCATCTAAAAATCTCAATCACCAACTCATTTACAATAATTTTTGTCATAGAACCTACTGAACCCCACTTAAAAGACATCGTATCAACGCCTCCTTAGTCCTCTCTGTTATAAATGTCCTGACCAGGAACTTGGATCTTTTTTCATCTGATGTGGGAATGGACCCTTTTCACAAGCCTGTTATAACGCGTTTAACAGTCATCAGCATCTTAAATCCTTAAAAGTTTTGATTTTCAAAAAAAAAAAAAACTCATGAACATTTCTATGTATTTATGAATGTATTATATCATCTTTGAATCAAATTACAAAAAATCTATTACTGCTTGTGCAAGGCGTTTATAATGCCGCGTCTATGTGACTGGACAGTAAATTTGACTTATTCTCTTCTCTGGCTGCCGTTTTCAGCGCCACACTTTTTTTCCTTTTTCTAAAAGTGTTTATAAAATCATCATGGAGTTTTTCTTAAATATTTGAGCAAATAAGATAAAAAAAAATGTTTGTTGTATTCTCCCATTCACTGCACTCCCCAACTGCACTTTCCCCAACTATGATGACTTCTGCTACTGAGAAACTCATCACATAATTTGGACACATACAAGTGGCTGGTACAACTGTACGACATTATAATTATCCACAGCTCGAGTGAACTTGCTACAAATGTGTGCATTAAAGATCTGGACAAAATCTCCACGTTTACTGCACAAAACAATGATCATGAATCAGGATGATTGCCTTACTTTGTATAATTGATACTTGATACTGTACTTTGCTTTTGTTTTTCTGTTAACTTCTATTAATTGGATACCCCAGTTTAAAGAGACCGCAGGGGGGGGTGTAGTATGATTAATATATTTCATTATATTGTTTTTTTCAGCGAATTCCTGATTTGTCTTAATCAAGATCATCTTCCGAAATTAACGATTCTGTTCAGTAAGAGCCAAATATAATCAATATTATTGTATAAGTAATATCTAATCACTTCGTTTTTAAAAAGGGAAGCTGAAAAACTGTTTGCACATTATCAGCACAGCAACAATAAAGAGCCAGAAAAGTTGATCTATCTGCACAGCACAGACTTTAGTTAGAATAACTCGAACTGTATGTGTGCCTGATAACAGCTATCTCATACACACTCTACACACACATATGACACTCTTTCGAATGCACAGACTGTGTATGTGTGTGTGTGTGTGTGTGTGTGTGTGTGTGTGTGTGTGTGTGTGTGTGTGTGTGTGTGTGTGTGTGTGTGTGTGTGTTTCTATATTTTCTTTTTTTTTTACTATAAGTTTCAAAATTTCAACTGTAAGGTCTGGTGTAACTGTAAAAAACAAAAGACTTCGCTAAAACAACAACATAAAAAAAACGGAATTTCCTATACTAACACGTTTAATTGCTTTACGTCATAGAGTAAAACATGTTTTTTAAATTTTATTATACAAATTGCCTGCATTAAATATGCTTTCAATGCATATAAAATCCTGTTTTATTGTGTGAATCAAAAACAATGTCTGCATCTACATCTGAATCAATCGATTTAACATAGCTTTGTATTTAAGATTAAGCTGGGATAACTGTTACCAACATTAAATATTTCTTGGCTACCCTTCTAGCAAAAAGTTGGCAAAATCAGATTGGTCAGACATAACTGGCAACACACACAGAGTACTGAGAAATGTATTCATTTGCAAAATCATGCAATCCATTCATTAATCACATGAGTGACCAATTGCATAAAATGCCAACAAGTTAGTCATTTATTTGTTAAGAAAACTGGTCAAAGGTTTTAAGCGGGTTTCATAAAAGCATAATTGAGGTAAAATTGTTTTTTTTTTCAGACATTCAAAATTTCTCCTTAATACAATTTCAGAAAACTTTTCTTTGGAAATTCTCAATTGAAAGCATTTTGTTATACAGCGCAGTTGGGCAACTGACTGTTAACTATTAGAGGGTGTCACAGACTGGGAAAGAGTATGGCAGAACATTTTTACTTCATCTAAAAATCTCAATCACCAACTCATTTACAATAACTTTTGTCATAGAACCTACTGAACCCCACTCAAAAGACATCGTATCAACGCCTCCTTAGTCCTCTCTGTTATAAATGTCCTGACCAGGAACTTGGATCTTTTTTCATCTGATGTGGGAATGGACCCTTTTCACAAGCCTGTTATAACGCGTTTAACAGTCATCAGCATCTTAAATCCTTAAAAGTTTTGATTTTCAAAAAAAAAAAAAACTCATGAACATTTCTATGTATTTATGAATGTATTATATCATCTTTGAATCAAATTACAAAAAATCTATTACTGCTTGTGCAAGGCGTTTATAATGCCGCGTCTATGTGACTGGACAGTAAATTTGACTTATTCTCTTCTCTGGCTGCCGTCTTCAGCGCCACACTTTTTTTCCTTTTTCTAAAAGTGTTTATAAAATCATCATGGAGTTTTTCTTAAATATTTGAGCAAATAAGATCAAAAAAAATGTTTGTTGTATTCTCCCATTCACTGCACTCCCCAACTGCACTTTCCCCAACTATGATGACTTCTGCTACTGAGAAACTCATCACATAATTTGGACACATACAAGTGGCTGGTACAACTGTACGACATTATAATTATCCACAGCTCGAGTGAACTTGCTACAAATGTGTGCATTAAAGATCTGGACAAAATCTCCACGTTTACTGCACAAAACAATGATCAGGAATCAGGATGATTGCCTTACTTTGTATAATTGATACTTGATACTGTACTTTGCTTTTGTTTTTCTGTTAACTTCTATTAATTGGATACCCCAGTTTAAAGAAACCACAGGGGGGGGGGGGGGGGGGGGGGGTGTAGTATGAATAATATATTTCATTATATTGTTTTTTTCAGCCTGTGTCATTCATTCATTTTCTTGTCGGCTTAGTCTCTTTATTAATCCGGGGTTTGCTACAGCAGAATGAACCGCCAACTTATCCAGCAAGTTTTTACGCAGTGGATGCCCTTCCAGCCACAACCCATCTCTGGGAAACATCCACACACACATTCAAACACACTTATACACTACGGACAATTTAGCCTACCTAATTTACCTGTACTGCATGTCTTTGGACTGTGGGGGAAACCGGAGCACCCTGAGGAAACCCACACAAAGGCAGGGAGAACATGCAAACTCCACACAGAAACGCCAACTAAGCCGAGGTTCGAACCAGCGACCCAGCGACCTTCTTGCTGTGAGGCGACAGCACTACCTACTGCGCCACTTGCCCTCGCCTTTTTTTTTTCAGCCTGTGTGCTTTGTTATAATAATAATAATAATAATAATAATAATAATAATAATAATAATAATAAAAGAAAATTCTAAGCAACCAACAACAATCAAAGTACAACATTGTTCAGTCAATTAAATAGTGCATGTGTTGTTTTGAAGTTATACATAAATGTGATTTCAGACCGAATATTCAATGTACCATTATAAACAATATAGGGACAACTTAACCTCAAAAACAACATAGGCTGGTCTAACGTGAACCTGTTAAATAAAACACATCAGTCAGTCAAATTAGTTGGTAAGAGTTTATGCAACTGGCCCCAAGTTTGCCAAGTCAGAAAGGAGAGGCACATTATATCCTAACACCCAAAATAAACACTGCAAACCTGCAATGCTCATGTGTACACCAACAACTGTAAACAAGCTGTCAGTGAAGAACCGTTAGGATTACTCAAATGTCAGTTGACGATAGTTCAGTCTGTCCTAATTCTACTAGTTTTAGAAATATGACACAAAGGTTACTCGGCTTCATGCATACAATTACAGACAGCTAACAATTATTTACAAAACGCGTTTAATTTTGGGTTAGAAGTCAAATGAATTGCGAGCTCAGTCACAGAAAGGGATTAAAGAGCTCAATATTGTAGCTAACGACAAGCTAAGAGGCTAACCAACTAGCCTAATGGACCTCATTTAAACTCAGTTCTGTTTCTAGAGATATTTATCAAAAGTCTTAACCACAGTTAAACCCATTCATGATTTCATTATACGGAATATGCGTAATGAAGTCTAAATGCAAGCTGGATAATGAACACGGAGCATAACGGGTCAGTGTGCTGTGCTTTAATGGGTCTCTCTGTACTCACGATGTACTCGCGCACTTGGCTGTGGAAATTCTGCTCTCTGATCGTCACATCGTCTTCCATTCTTCATATTGCAGAAACACATTCATTAGCAACGCATTTTGGTGGCCAGTCCATTCACTGCGAGAGAAAGCGACTTTATCAGATAAATAAACCGCCCTTTGGAAGAGCTCGACTGACTGACAGCGGTTGCGCTCAGCGCCAAATAAACGATCACAACACAGTCAAAATATATCGCGTCATCATTCGGCGACTTACGACAGGCAGGAGGATGGATGTACACAGATGGCCTGTCAAGAAGAATACAGTAAAATCCTTCTGGAAATAGAGGACTTTCTCCTGTGCTACATTTAGGTAATACACCCATTCATCCATCAATATTTCCATAAAACAACTTGTCTTATGTATGGTCACAGGAGTGTCGAGTTTATTTGTGAAAAATGAATCAGGAGTATGAGTGAATTTAACTTAGCTAAATATGTTACTGTTGGCAACAGATGTTTAGTTAGCAGGCATTGAGTAATATAAAATAAATCAATAAAAGAAAAATGCAGCTTAAAATGTTTTATAATCAAAAACAGTGGGTATCACATTTTACCATGATTTACAGAAGATACACACTAATATGTAATTCTATGTAACTTGTAGGGCTGTAACGATACACCAAACCCACGACTCGGTTCGTATCACGATTTTTGACCCACGATTCGGTTCGTATCACGATTTTTTTTTTTTTTTTTTTTTTTTTTGTGGGGTGGGAAAAAAAAGATTTTTAAAACTATTTTTTATTAAATAACATTTGAAAAATCTTTATAAACTAAACATCAAAGAACAATATTAACTATGCAAATTATTAACAATATAAATAGCCATATATAAAAAAAATAAATAGCCAAAGCTATATCACTTCTGTTTTCTTTGTAACAAAATACAAATACATGTAACTAAACTCCATTGTGTAGATGGTTCAAGCATGTTGAAAATTATTTTTCAATCAAGTTCTCTTACATAGAAAAAGTAAATTAAATAGCTACTAGGAATGTTCATTTCGTTAATTTTGCTAACCGACAAACGCTGCTCATTAATCGGTTATTAACGGTTAACTGGTCAGATTACTATTAATTTTATATTAAACAAATTGACGTGTCTATTTTGTGTCCGACACATTAAATATTGCATTTTAAAATACTAATTTTTATATGTTAGCATATTAATAGCGGAACAGAACAACAGAGCATCTTGTGTACCAAAAAATAGTGTCATGCCTACTTAATTATTATTTCTAGACACTACTTGCATATTAGAGAAATTATAAGAAATTATGGGGCGGTACGGTGGTGCAATGGGTAACGATGTCACCTCACAGCAAGAAGGTTGCTGGTTCGAGTCTTTCTGGGTCAGTTTTCTGTGTGGAGTTTGCATGTTCTCTCCATGTTTGCACGAGTTCCCTCCGGGTACTCCTGTTTTCCCCAGTCTAAAGACATGCACTATAGTTGAATTGGGTAAGCTAAAATGTCTGTATGTGAATATGTCCTGTTCATATGCAAGTATACAAGAAGTTATACATATATCTTCTGGTATATATTTATACAGTACATACTGCTAATAAATCTATACACATTATTATAGAGACAGTTCACCCAAAAATGATCGAGTGGTTCCAAATCCTTATGAGTTTACTTTTTTGCTAAACACAAAAGAAGCTATTTAGAAAAGTGTTATAGAAACCTGAAAATTGACCTCCATAGTAAGAAAGACTAATACTATTGAAGTCAATGGTTAAATGTTTTAATTTTTGAAAAATTAAATGAAAACCTCAAACTGGTTTGCGTCAAGTGAAGTTTGAGTAAATGATGACAGAACTTACTCTCCGACTCAGCAGATGGCGATAAACTCAATTTTGTTTTCTTCACTTTCGAAATGTCTAACGAAGAAAACGCCAATGGCTGCCTCCAGCTTCTGCATGTGTAAACTTTCGATAACTCTGTTTAGTCTGTGACACGTACCTATTAAAATAAAAAAATAAGAAGAAGATTGTATGCGCGTTCCTTTATAATCCACTTAGAAAATGAAGGCAAAGCGGCAGCGCAAAGGTAAAGGTGGAAAGCAAGCAAACAATGACAAATTTAAGAAACTCAAGGATTCAGTCAGCGACTTTGTGAAGAGTAAAGGAGGCTTCGATAAAAATGAAAACGACCAAAGAGTAAATTTCGTAAAGCGGAAAAGCAGAAAAGACCTGCGCAAGGAGAAACGTAAGATGAAGAAAGCCAAGATGAAGAGCCACTACATGGGTCAGGCAATGGCAAAATCCAGCGAGGAGCTTAATCCAAACACTCCTGCTGTGAAGGAGGAAAACACACACAAACCAGTCCTGAAGAAGACTACAGATGCTCCTCAGAGACAGCAGAAGACTAAAAAAGGCGATGCTAAGACTAAAGACGCTAAAGATGAGACGAAAAGTAAGAAAGTCCACTTCTCAGAAGATCTGCCAAAGCAGAAAAAGAAATCTGGCCTGAACGAGAGCAGAAAGCTGGCTCTGTTAGAGGCGAATGTCGAAGAGGACAGAGAAATAAAGAAGCTAGAGAAACGCCTTGGACTGAATAAAAGAAAGAACAAGAAGAGTCTGCCTCAGTCTTTCACCAATGATGGGTTAGATTATATTTTAGGAATTCTTGAGCCTGGAGCGTCTGCTACGGGACTGTATGAGAGCGATGAAGAAATGGACATTGACAAAGCCAAGGAGAACTTTGATGAGCTGGAAGAAGACAGCGAGGAGCAAATGACAGACGATGAAGACACAGGTGATGGTGAGGAAGAGGATGAAGCGCAGATGGAGGAAGAGGAGGACGTGGAGGAGGAAGACACACAAATAGATGATGAGGAGGTAGAAGGAGATGAAGAGGATGACACGGATGCATCAGAGGAAAATGAAGAAGTGGAGGAAGCTGAATCTGAACAAAAAAATCCTGAAAGCCAGGAACTAGTATGTCATTGTACATCTACTTATTATTTTCTATCATTTATTTCAGTAATCAAAACAATGAAAAAACAGCAATAAGTAAATACTTTGATAAACAACTGGTCACAGTGGGGTTACAGTGATAAAAAAAGACAGAATAAAGAGTTTTAGAGTTTTTTTGGTCAGATGTTTGTTTAAATGTAAAGAGAAATAGTATTATAAGAAGTAGTCTAAAATCAGTTGATTGGTTATATAAAGGTTTATGCAATAGTTATGTCACAGTAATAACAGAAAAATTATGTTCAAAAATTAATTCCAGTTTTAAAGGAGCTCTAGAGTGTCATTTTTCTGCTCCGTTAACTTCAGATGTGGTATCAGAATTTCAAAGTCTGACACCCGGGAGGAGCTCGGAGTAGAGCCACTGCACCTCCACATTGAGGGAAGTCAGCTGAGGTGGCTTGGGCATCTTTTTCGGATGCCTCCTGGACGCCTACGTATGGAGGTGTTCCAGGCATGTCCCACACGCTGGAGGGACTATATCTCTCGGCTGACCTGGGAATGCCTCTGGATCCCCCCGGAGGAGCTGGAGGAAGTGTTTGGGCAGAGTGAAGTCTGGGGTTCTCTCCTAAGACTGCTGCCACCGCGACCCGGCCCCGGAAAATTGGCAGAAAATAAATGATTGATGAATTTCAAAGTTGTGATGATATAACCTTAATTCAACCGTAAAGCATTTCTACAGAAGACCAGAGTGTCCTTATTCAGCACTATTTTTTACTATCGCATGCTCATCAGGTGTAATGCTTTGTCCCAAAAGACATACTACACACCATGCACTTATTGTTTATGCCAGGGGTGTCTTGCAGATTTTAGCTCCAACTTGCCTCAACACACCTGCCAGGACGTTTCTAGACTGCCTAGTAAGAGCTTGATTAGCTAGGCCAGCTGTGTCTGATTGGGGTTAGAACTAAACTTTGCAGGACACCAGCTCTCCAGGACCGAATTAATTAATTCTGATTAATTGAGTCCTTCAGGCTTGTTTGAAACCTACAGGTAAGTGTGTTGGAGCAGGGTTGGAACTAAACTGTGCAGGGCGTCGGCCCTCCAGGAATTGAGTTTGACACCCCTGATCTAATTTATCAACTTTATAAAGTCATCAGAGTTTGAAAGACTTTATAAAGTGGCCTTTTATAATGGCCTCTTTTCAACATGACATGCTTAACGGTCATCATAATCTTAAATCCTTGAAAGTTTTTAATATTTAGATTTTTTAAACATAAAAACATTTATATGTGTTTATGTATGTATTATATCATCTTTGCATCAAATTACAAAAAATGAATTACTGCTCGTGCGAGGCGTTTTTAATGCGGCGTCTGTTGGGCTGAGAGTAAATTTGACCTTATTCTCTCCTCTGGCCGTCATCAGTCTCACACTATTTTTTTACTTTTTCTAAAGGTCTTGATTACACCATCGTGGAGTTTTTCTTTTTTTAGCAAATAGGCTTGTAAAAAATTATTAGTTGTACTCTCCCATTCGCTGCACTTTTCAGTTCACCCAACTATGACGCTTTCCGCTACTGAGAAAACTGAATACTGAAAAGGGTCTATAAGTGCATTATCTGCTCATAATGGTGCATAAGGACACAAACCAGGATACACCTTATACTTTGAAGCTAATATCAGTTATTTGGTCTTCTATTTGCTGTAGAATCCTGCCACAACTGGCAAGTATGTTCCACCTCACCTGCGAGAGGCTGCAGACAGCAAACGCAAAGCTGAGCTGGAGAAGCTGAAGCGCAGTGTGAAAGGTCTGATTAACAGGTAAGGTGTCACAGAGATTAACTTGATTAATGCATTTTAAAGAGGCTTTGTTTTTAAAAGCATTTAGTGTCGTTGACTTCACCAGTTTGTTGTTATTTGATGGCTCTGCCCTCTGCTTGGCAGGTTGAGTCAGCCCAACATGGCGTCCATCAGCAGTCAGTTGGAAGAGCTGTACATGAACACCAGCAGGAAGGACATGAACGATACACTCACTGACATTCTGCTGGCTGCCTGCGTCACGCCTGCTCTCATGCCAGAAAGGTCTACACTTCTCATAGTGATTT